TACATGGAACAGTTTCAGTTAGACGTGAGGATGTTAACTTCCAATTTTGAGTCTATGCATTAAAACGATTTATCAGAGCAATGCTGAAAAATGCATGACAGGAGCAACACAGTCCCCATCTGATCAGTGATGCTCAGTTTGAACAATATTTAAACTTTTGAACTTTGACTAAGACAGAACCAAGTGACATAAAGTCTTGGCCAGCATTAGAATGAGCATGATTACCAATGCTAAGTTCAAGAAAACAAAGTACAGGTGCTTTATTTGGACAGAAATGGGCAATGCTCTCCTTTAAAGCTATCAGTCATTATCAGGGGCGGATTTAGAATTGAAGAAGATCCGGGGCTCAGGCCCAGATGAGTGAAAGATATTTTTAGCATGTGCAAGAAAATTGGTGTATTTTTTACACCTACATATGGGTGTACATTTTATATTTTCATTTAAAGAAAAGTTTAAGATATTTAGGAAAAAAGGTGCTATTATTGTTCCAACTAGGCTCTGCTAGCTCATCGTCTAAAACAGCGCCTCTTGCTGGAAACCAGAACTGACGTCGCTCAAGGAAAACGTTCCTGATGCTGCTCAGAAAAGCAAAAGGATTTGCAGCAGCAGCACAAAGCTCCAGTTTCTGAATAAGAATTTAAATTTATGTTACATATTGAAGGCGCACAGCCATTGAGTTTTAAGCCAGTAGCAAGACTTGATGGAAACAAGCTAAACAGGAATTATTAATTTAAATGGCGAAAGAAGAGCTGCTGAAGCATGGGAACAGATTGGAAATGCTAACTGGTTAGAATTTTTTTTTATAGGTAATTAAATCATGATCGCTGCTATCGCTGCTCCGAGTACATCGCTATGCTTCCTGTTTACTAAATGTGAATACGGCGTTGGTCTAAAACGATCACGTGAGAACCACTTTACTACTTTCTCATTACGCTCGGCTCAAAAGAAAGTAGCCCCACATTCAAACAGCGATCTGAATAAAAAGCGGGTCTTCTTTAGAAGAAGAAAGTTTACTTCTGAAATCAGTATAAATGTACTATTTTTATGAAACAAACAGCTAGTTGCCACAAGAGGTGGGAACAAAATGAAATGAAAACAAAATATGTAGTGGCGACATATTGGATGGGTCCGTCACTCTCCAACACCTAATCAGTCGACACTGAGTGAGCAGCTATGCCTGTTTTTGTGCACTCTACGGTTCCAACAACCAGCATACAATGGGATTACTGTGGACTTGTCTAGCCCAATGAATGCACCGGAGGCGACTGGTGACCCATCCAACATGGCGGCCTGCAGTTACACCAGTGTCCCAGCTCATGTCACCCCTACGTTTATATGATCTGATCAATATGCTTCTCATATTTATTTTCTGTTGTGGAAATCGATGTCCAGACAAACAGGAGTTTGTAGCCTACAACCCCAACATACACAAACATTATCCATCATTAAACTAGTTGAATCGGTGTTACCTCAGAAGAAAATAACTGGAGCCAAGCATGTCTTCCTCTGGGTACGTAATGTGTCACGTGACTCCAAAACCACACCTTTTTTAGGGAAACCTGCCCACTTCCCTTGATGTCGTGTTTTTAAAACACCTGCTTGTTATCAGAAGTAACGTTTTGACCTTATGTTTTACTACCATTTAAAAAAAACATTAAAGATGCTCTTTAAAGCAGACAAAAATATCATTTCCATGTAACATTCATAACATTATCATGCTTTCCACTTTCTTTATTCCACAACTTAATGACACTTTTCAAACAAAATTCAAAAACCAGAATCATCACATGGTGTTCTTGAGATTTTTAGTCCAAAATATGTCCTAATATCCATGTTTGCATCAGTTTTTCCATAGTTGCATCCAAAGTGCAGAATGCAGGCTGCTGAACTGGTTTGAGGCTCAGACTTTATGCTGCTGCCGGCTCTCTGATGGACTTTGGTACGGTGTGTTCATTCCAAACCGCTTTTATTTGCTCAAAAGTAAAATTCTGTTTCAGGACTTGGGCCCAAGTAGTCATCCCCTAGCTCCGCCTCTGGTCAAAATAAAAAAATTCAAAGAGCATTACCAGTTACTCTGACAGATTAATGACAAAAAGTAAGTGATTTTTTAAAAATGTTTTTTGTCACCCAGTTTTGCAGCTAAATTAACACTACTACAAACAACAGGGCCAAGATTCAAAGGTGTTTGCTGCTAGTCTAAGGGCATCAATCTGAGCACAAAAAGCAAACTGGAACAAAACTAAATCTCTTGTTTGTCTAAATCTTATGAAACAACTGTTCTGATTCCTCCCTCCTTTCCTCCAACAACTCAGGACCATAGCTCTAACGACACATTTAAGATAACCTTCCTCTTATTTACAGGGCTAGTGCTTGTTTTAAAGTACGAAACTGCTTCCGCCTTTATTTCTGAAAACACAAACTGCATGCACTTTGAGAGCTTCCTGTTTCGTGAAAAGATGACACTCAGCTTTGAAGTCTCTGCTTACTTCTCTCTGAACACAGTAACTCCACCAATCATCCTGCTGAACCCAGCAAAGTGCAGAAAATGTTGCACTTCGAAAAGCCATTATAAATCGTCACCCACCTCTCTCTTAGTAAACCCTTTTTTTTCCTGCCACTCGTAGAGGAACAGGGATTGTGTGTTTCTTGTGTTGTTGAATACCAGAAGAAACTACAAATGTAATCGGTTTGTAGAAAAATAGCCACCTGATATGAATGAATTCTCTTCTTTGTAGCTCTGTTGGAAACCTTCCTTCAGCCCAATCGATACCTTTCTACATTTTGTTAAACAGAACAATTCTGTAATTGGCTCTTACAGCAAAAGCTATTATATAACTCTCTCCTATGGCCTTAAAATGATGCTCCAAGTCATATCTCTATTTTCAGAATGGCTCACATTTTTGTTGCCCTGACAGATAAGTGGCAGGAAAAAGATGTTGTTCTTCAGAAACTGACCGCTGTGCACGTCTGAATTGTTATTTAATGGGATATTACACAATTTTTTCATATTTTAAAATCATTTTCTTGAGCCAGTATGTGATCAAATGAGCCTTTATAGAGTTAATAAAATGTCACTCAGACCCCCACCTCCCCCTGTGGCCAGAATACCGCATTTGCAACTTCAGAGCACCAAGCCACGACCAGTAGACTTGGAATAAAATAGAGCTGACGTTGCATTATCCTTCCAGCAAATTTCCTACATGTTTAAGATAATAAACACAGCTGATTTGTTCAATTTAGTGATGAATCACTCCTGTAGACACTAATGAAGGATGGGGAGACATTTCAGCTGTTAGATTGATGTGTGAAAAAGACGAACGCACAGCGAGGGGATACGTTTCACTTTTGCTTTGACCACAGATAATTAATAATGGACACTAGGAGGTGGTAAAAGCAAGCAAAACAGCTTAGTGTTCCTTTAATGAGGAATTCAAAGGAATCAAAAGGAAAACCAAAATGAAGACTTTAACCTGCAAATCCTTCAACGAGGCCGCTGTTCAGCCTTTACTGGTCAATAAAACGTGAAGCTGATGTTGCTTTTATGTAAGAGATGGATCGAGAAAGGCAGCTGGAAGGACAGAGAAAGAAGAGATGCAGAGAAAAAGAAAGATGTGGGTGTCAGATTGAAATGAGATGTCGACACGCCAACAGCAATCTTGCCTGCATGCTGGATGCTGCACCATGGGCAGCAAAGCACTGGTAGAGAAAGGGATCGCTCTGCACGATTAATCCACTAAAGTCATGCTACAGGGAACAAATTAAGGCTCTCATCATGTTTGTTTTTTCCCTTTCCTGCCTCTTCTTCTCTTTGTCCTTTCTTCTCCATCCACATGATCTCTCCAAGCTTTTATTTGCAGAAACAGCAATGCATTCACATTTAATTCGCAAAGGTCCTGGGGGCGAACCAAGCAGGTTTTAGACACAAGTGCCAATCCACTTATCCACCCACCTATCTCTGACTCCAGAGCCTCGCCGTGCCATGCAAACACACTTCTCACAGCGTTTACATGTCATGTTTTCTCTCTGACACGTGTAGCATTCATGAAGAACATACACAGGCACAGGAATGCACATGAGTACGGTCAACAAACCACACGGATTATCAGGAGCGGCACGTCTGCATTGGAGGCTGTTCAGCTGCAGCACAAATACACATATGAAAAATATTGATAAACGCTGACATGAGCGTCGGCACATGCATGAACGCACCGACACAACTTGACAATCGGTGTCTGAAATTAATCTTTTGCTTCACCAGCCAGAGACTGGTAAACTAAAAATGAGTTTTGTCACAAATTAATTGAAGAATCAGTTGCTGGGTCTTAATTTAAAAGTGTTCTGAGTCTCATACTTCAGTAAAGTTTTTTGTTCATTGTGCAGTTTGACGTCTTTCTAAACGCTAACACACACATTTGTCCACAAATTCACTGTGACATTTCTAGCTTGATTATTTGTGAAAGAATAAGATATTCAACATGTTTATTTCTTATTGGAAACCTAAAAAAAAATACCTGTCAGGAATTGCTCCTGCAGCACCTTGTGTCTCTTGTGTCTCGTCTCCCCTCGTTACCCTACCACCTGTTTCCCTGATTATCCACATGTATTTAAAGCCCCTGTTAGTGCTTGTCTATGTCAGATCCTCATCTTGTCTTCCTGTTGTGTCATCTTAACTGACATTATTCAGATAAAACTGTTCTTTGTTGTTGCCAGTCTGCTTCCTGTGCCTGCTCTCCTACATTTGGGTCCAAACCAACACCAGGATGGACAAAAAGTCTTCATGGATGAATAGAATGAAGTATATAATTACTAATGGAGGCTCTGCATGACTGTTACAGGTCAGGAGCATTTAGGTTGGTAGAAACCTTCTTAGTCTACTTTTCAGCTCGCATAGCTTTTGCAGAAATCTATTACAGTATGTTATAAGCAATGAGGAAAAAAGAGGATTTGAAGCAAAGATTTGCCACTTTGATGTAAATTCAGATTCTGCTGATGCAACTCACCCACTGAGGACCACTATGAAGTCCATGACGTTCCAGCCGTTCCTCAGATAAGCCCCTTTATGGAACACAAAACCAAGCGCCACCAGCTTGATGCCCGCCTCAAAACAGAAAATCCCAATAAAGTACGGCTCTGTCTTCTCCTGTGGAAGACAAAAATCAATACAGAAGTCAGGAAGCTCTTCCAGAAACTTAATAGCACAGCAGGTAAACGATTCCACAAGGAATATTTTAATAAAACTAGAGGTTTTGATGATAATCGTGAAGGTTGGCTTTTCTGTTTTGGCTCAGACTTGGATCATCTGAAAATATAAAGGTTTATTCTACAAACAAATAGTCACATTATGATGACCATCATTAGAGATCACAAAGAGAAAGAGATGGAAAATCGTCAAGATATTTCACTTTTTTTCTACAAACACTGGAAGACAGAAGATTATGAGCCTTCTAATCAGTAAATCCTGCGAGTGTGGGATGGTTAAACTCTAGAGTTTAAAATTCCAAGATTTTTTAAATTTCACATATTTAGGTAGGATTAGGCACAAATAAACCTAATCAAAGGTAGTTAAATTACCATTGTTGAGTGAAAAAAATGACTGGTGACTTTGCAGTGATGCTAGAAAAGATACACGATCAAAATGATTCTGAATTGTTGTCATTTCCATTTTCTATCATAATACAAACTAAATGTGATCATTTTTATGCAAACCAAAGTGAATGCATGCAAACAAATGTGTTTTGGGATGCTTTTTTATGACCAGTCACATAAAACTATGACTAAAACAGCAAAACTTGAGTAGAAACTGAGAGAATATTCATTATTATTTTTCACAATCTTTCCAGAACTATTATTTGTTCACATTTTTCATGATCCGATTGTTCCTCGGAGCTATAAACTAAGCCATGCAACTGTCTACCATTGTAAAAGCATTTTAACTTGCTGCAGGAAAGCAATAAAGGTCGACTTCCTGCCGCAATTCAACAACTATCAGCAGTAACATTTCCTGTACATTAAAACCAAAATGTTTGCCGAGATGCATTTCTGATTCTTTATTAGAAAATTCAAGTCCTGAGAAAATTTGACTACAGAATAAAATTATAATTACTGAAACACAGCTCCTTTGTTCTGTGAAAATCTGCACATCAGAGCACCGCAAACCTTAAACTGCCACACATTTGTTTTCCACCCCCTCACGCATCTACATTTTAATATCCTGCTGAAAAAGAAAAGCTTGTGCTTTTGTCTCACCAGTCTCTTTGCCATGGGGGTCTTGTCCTCTCCAGGGAGGTGCTGCTCCAAGGCCAGGACAACACAGTTAGCAGTAATGGTGGCCAAGATCATGTACTCGAATGGTGTAAAGGTCATAGGGTCAAGGAAAGTTCTCTCATCATAAAACACGGACACAAAACAGACAAGCAGAGCTAGAAAAGGGGAAATCTCACTAAAAACCAACTGATGTTGTAGTTATTTAATAGTATTGCTGCAATTAACAAATTATTAATCAGTTCCAAACACATTTAGCTTAATTTCATTGGCAGAAACTTCCAACATGCTGTGTGTAAACGAATTTCGGAAGAGGTCCACAAGTGTTTTCAGGAAGATAAAAGAGCCTGATGGATGAATAAGTGAGAGATAAATTATGACATGCTTCATATTTTCCAGTATTGAAAGCAATCTGTCAGAGAGAAGCCAGTATCCATGGCAACATGCTTTTAAAAGTGCTTTTCATGAAGAGAAAGAGAGCAGGTTAGGGAGGGGAGAAGTGTGCTGTGAAGTCACCTTGGCCTGATGGTGTAACTGCACTGAGTTAAAGCAAACATCTCTTAGAGATCCTGTAACTAACAGATGATAAACCTGCAGAAAAATGCACCATACTTCTATTTATTTAGCATATGTACTCTCCGGGTCCTCCGGCTTCCTCCCACCGTCCAAAAACATGACTGTTAGGTTAATTGGTCCGTCTAAATTGTCCTTAGGTGTGTGTGTGTGTGTGTGATTGTTAGTTCTGTGTGTCTCTGTGTTGCCCTGCGATGGACTAGCTCTCTGTCCAGGGTGTACCCGCCTGATTGCCCATTGACCGCTGGAGATAGGCACCAGCCAGCGGGTTCAGACAATGGATGGATGGATAATGTGCATGGGATGTTTATCGTGATTGAGAGGGACGAGAATAAAGTATTGAACAAATAGTATAATTATACGTTTAAATGGTTTATTAATAAAAAAAATAAAAATAGATTTAAGATCTATCCCTAAAGTTCCCAAAAGACAAAAAGCTTCTATTGGTGTGTAAGTTAAGCTATGATGACAAACTATTAATCAACTTTCCTTTTTGTGAACAATCAGTTGTTGTCTTGTTACTAAAATATTAAAACTTTAATTTTAAAGCTACTGCAAAGAACGTTTTTGGAACGTTAGTCCACAAAAATGTCATTTTATGAGATTATACTTGGAAAACTTATGGGTAATTTGTCTATTTTCAATCAATTTAATTAGAAAAAGTTGTCGTTTACAATTTAAAACCTTGAAATGTTCTTCAGATATGTTGTAAAAAGTATTTGAAAGCGATATGTGTTTTATACCAAGTGATCTAAAAATAGAACATCTTTTATTTGGCATGAAAACATTTAAAAACCTAATTTATTCCAATCACGAATCAACAGAAATACAATACAACTTCTCATCTGTTAAATGGAACACATTAGCATAATTTTAGGATCTTATTAACCAATCACTGCCTTTTTACACAACACTCCACATTTTCCCACACCAGCACACAAATCAGTAGATACATGGGGTTGTTATGGAACTCCAATGTGTTAAAAATCAAATAAATAAATTATACATTATGAAATATGCAATCAATACGAGACAATTGTGTAATATAAACATGAAATTGTAAAATAGCAATGTTATGTAGAAATCTAAGCTAAACATGTCTACATTGTAATCATTATTTTATTAAAATCAGCTTATTAATATGAAACTAATTCCAACATGGTCATTTCCCCCCAATAATGCAACTTTTTATTCAGGTGTTTGCATTTATTTCCTTTCAGTTTTTTTTACATAATGTCCTTTTCAACAAAGTCAGCTTTGATTTCATAATAGAGGTTTTTCAGATGACTGTTTAAATTTTTTTTTCATAATGACACTTTTCAGCAGAATTTTTTTGTTTGTCGATCAAGACAAACAGGGCAAAACCAGTTTGTGTTTGACTGCCCATTCACTCAGACATAAGCAATCAAATGCAAAGTATCAGATTAGGTCTGAAGGTGCAATACTTTGTGCTAATTAGCTAATGCGGGTCCGGTGAGCTGATATCCAGGGAAAACTAAGCTAAATTAGCCAACGGTTTTGCAGGTCACACCCACTGTTTTGATTGAATGACTAAGATATTCTGCTGAAAAGTGTCAATGTGAAATAAATCAGACATCTGGAAAATCTCTATTATGAAATCTAAGCTGACTTTGTAAAAGTAATTAAAAAAATTAAGAATTACATAAATTGCGTAATTGGTGAAAAAAAATTCCCTTTGAAACAAAGTTTTATATTAATAAGGAAATAATAATATTGAGCTCAGTTTTTTACATAACATTCCATTATTTCACAATTTTATTGTCAGTTTACCTCATATTTATTTACGTGCACATATTTCTTAATTGACTATTTATTTAATTTTGAACACTTTGCAGTCCCATGGGTTGTAACTATCATTTTCTTGTTCAAGGACAGAGAAGCTAGTTTCTAACCAACAACATTTAAAGTTGTGACAGAAAACAAGAGATCTAAGCAAACACTCACCCCTCCCCTTGGGGATCTTCCCTGAGATGCTCTGCCGGAACCAGAAACCCACATTTCCAGAGGAAACGAGCTAGCGCTAAACACCAGTCACTGTTTTCTAGGTACAAACGTCTTTTGTTGTCCATGACTTAAAATGGTATTTTTCTTTTTGGGACTATGGTTGTTTGTCCTAAATTTAAAGTGGTAGCAGCCGGCTGCTTCTCCTTCTCTGATATTAATGAGCGGAAAACCTCTCACACCGTTGGTGTTCTGTTGCTAAAAATGTGAGGACATTATTATTGGAGGACCCAGGGAAATGCGGGGGTTCGGCGAGACCGACAACCGGATTGTCCAATCGCTGCTTTCGGTTTGAGTTTGTTATTGGTAGCGAAGTTTAGACAAATGTGAAGAACCACTTAAGTTTTTAGATTTTTTTTTAATCTCCTCAATTTTATAGCTGTACTATGTTAGAACGTTGTTAAGAGGCATGAATAAATGTTTTAAGGATGTGAAAAAACATTTTTTAAATTTTTTTCTGATGATAATCGGCTCTTCAAGCTGACTGAATGTAAAAATAGTCTCCTACACCTAGCTCCTGCATTAGCTTCTGATAGAAAATAGATGGTGAAATGCTAGGACCCCAAAGGCCTGACAATTCAGTTTCAATTAAAATCTGTTTATTTATACAGATCTGTGTGACACTGTCACTTAACATTCATGGACTCATCCAACTTGACTCAAGAAGGGGAAGGCTGTCGTTAGTTTAGCATCCAGGAAACAGCAGAGAACGTCTCGACTAGAAGCTAACCATTAGCATTAGCAATTCCACCACAAAGCAGAATTCCTTCAGCCTTGTGTTATTTGAGAAGATTAAACATCAACATTGCAAGTCAGTGGTAGAGTTGAATTACTGTTATCCAATCAGAGGCATGATGTCAAAATGACTCCTGTTGTCTGAAGCTGCTTTCTCCTCCAGCTGAATTTGTGCTGATACAGGCACACTGGTGCCCCCGTGCCCCGGAGTACGACTTACAACGGATTTATTCCTACTATAGACCACTGCAAATGTATTGATTAAACAAGTGTTCCATGCTAATTTGTTTTCCAAATTTGCTTTTGCAGCTTTAATTTGGCTGAAAACAGCTTCCCATTTAGAGCTGAGATTGTTCGGAGATTAGTTTGGTTTCTTGTGACACTAAAATGGTTTTCAAGTCACAGGAAAATGAAATCTGAGAACTCAATAATTCATGTGCTACCCAAAAAAAAAAACAAGCAAGCTTTCCTAAATGACACTTTTTGCTGTTCAGATCAGCGTACTTAGTGTGTTTGGAGGTGTAACAAACTCACTTTGTAATACTTCAAAAGTGAATGAAAGCTGGAGTATTTTAAGCAATCATTTTTAGATACTGAGTTTAAACATTTAACACATTTGCAGTGTCTTTCCCAGCACACGACCACAAAAGTCCCAACCTTTGTGACATTCAGTCCAGAGCTCCCATGAGCAATGAGCTCCTTGTTATTCATTTTCCTGACCTGAGTGAAACGGGGTCACTGACTCACAGAGGAGAGCAGAAATGGGGCTCTTCGGGAAACCTAATGATTCACTTTGACCATAATATTGCCAGCAAAAGTGGTTGAAAATAGACAAGGTGGAAAACACTTCACAAATCTCACCTACTCAGTTAAAAGCCATCACCTGTTACTGAGAATATCGTTTAAAACACCACCCTACACTGGTTGCATCACACTCAGACATTTTTAAATATTTAGTCAGCAATTCACATCAACTGAATCTCAAATTGAAGTTTTAGTCTCTTTTATTTGCCATCATAGATTTTACTTATTGAGCAAACTTGTCCTGAGTAACAACTACATCTCTGCAGGACTGAGACTTCTATGTATTTTTGCCATCCATCGATTCGCTTCATGCACAAACAGTGTTGGCACAGTGAGGGTGAAAACCCCTCAGTCGATATGGGCTAAAGTCCAACATCTCAGACAGCTTGTTTTGTGCAACCAACAGCCCACCATCCAAACATATTGAGCCAACAAATAGAAGACCTCTGCATCCTGAAATTCGCAGCAGATGAACTAAACAGCATTTCTGTCGATTAAAGGCAGTTTACATCATATTTCGTTATTTTCATTAACATTTTTTGCTCAACAGTAACCAATTGATGTATTGAAGCTTTCCTTCATGTTGCAGTAATATTTCTAAATAAATAAACCAGCTGATCGCTGTCAAAATCAATTAAGACCTTTAGGGTGGATCTAATGTGATTTACCTTGCTTCCTTTGGCTTATTGAACACAAAATTTAGTGAAACTTTTAAACTGTAATTTGCAGGTGTTTGTAAAGATTCACAAGAATTTTTTTTGCACTTGCAGTCTCAGATGTTAGACATTATCTCACTCAGTTGACACTCTGACACGTGCTGTTTTCACAGCCATGATCTGGACCAGCGCTCTCCCACATATCGCAGCCTCTGTGATGCCCACAGCCACATCTCTGCACTGCCAGCGGGCAGCTAGCGTTGACCACTACTCCCACTCCCACACTTCCACAGAGAGCATGTGGTTAGGTAACACCAGGAGACTGGCACGCTGCTTTTGAGGGGGTGTGAGGCAGAGTGAGCAGTGGGTAGTTATGGCAAAAGTGGCGATGCTATCTAAAATGTTCAAATAAGGACAAAACTGGGCAAAGTATGCATCAAAAATAAGCAGAAACTAGGCATCTGGTGTCTGTTTTAGTTACAAAGCTGCAAACTTTGAGGTTGTAAGGAAAATTTCCATAACAAGTTTTTGTTAGTTCCTCGTAAGTTTCCAGAGAGAGAGAGAGAGAGAGAAAAAGTGTGTTTGCCAGCTCTACAGCAGGGAACCAGAGGAACGCTGCCTGGTGAATTTGAACTAACACCTACTCACGGTCAGGTTCATATTCCAATGAGCACTAAGGCAGCTGAGATGTGCCTACATGCCACCCCCACAGTGAGCATAACTGATCCTAATGATCAACACATGCTTACTCTCTGCTGCCTTCTGCCAGCAGTGACGAATGGAGAAGTTGCAAGATGCAAAGAAGGGGAAATTCAGCTTTGGTGTGGAGTTAATGAAAGATTGTGAATTTTTAGAATGAAAGTGCTCATTAAACTTTAACATTCATTAAAGAAAAGATGTGATTTCAAGCTGCAACTGCCCAGGTCGCTGTCCGTGGTGCTGAACTGGCAGCAAACTAAACTAAGGCGTTTTTTTTTTATATTTTTATTTTTTTATGTATAACCAGTGTTTATAATAAAAGGATATGGCCATTCAATTATTCGCCTTGCGTATTTCCTGATGATGTTGTCCTCTGCAAATATAAAGAGCGACCTGTTGACGGTGAGGCAGTTCTGCCGGTGGGGCACGGGGTTGTACAGAGCCATGGTCCGGGCCCGCTGCGCCTTGGCTTGCTTCATGGAAGCCGTGAGCGCGCTCGCCGCCTCATCCTGTCCGTCACCGCCGCGCTCCACGTCCCCATCCCCGGAGTCCGCCGTGGTGGGAGCGGACTCATCTCCGAACCGAGCCATTCTACAAAGAGACAATGAGATGATCGACTTAAAGTGTTTCACAAACACAGATTACTGCAAATGAGCAGGATGGGGGGAAAAATCAAGTGTAAAGCAACAAAAGCATCCACCTTCGTTCCTATATCAGGTTTCCGAGCGCGTGAAATTCCTCCAAAAGTTG